AAGTTAACTATATTAAATTATATAAATATAAAAAGCATACAGAAGCATTTTTGCCGTCTACAATTTAGAATGCCTGGAATTTTGAGTTTTAATATACTAATAAATCAACGTGCGTGCACTCTGTGTGTGATTTGGTGATATAGCCTACTTGATAATGTCATATTATCGAAGATATACTGTATATCGCACACACAGACTCGACTTGAGTCTCGAGTCTAACTTGCAGACGCCAGACCACTGATTCGTCAAAGCTGCTTTCCTGCAGTCAGTGTTCTTCTGACTTCTGACTATTTTGTAGTAAGTAATGAATATGCTTCGGGGAAATGTATCGGAGTCATTTTAATTATTTTAATTAGGAAATGTAGTGGAGTAAACGTAAAAGTTGGCTGAAATATAAAAACTCAAGGATACTCGCAATACTCGCAAAAAATACTTAAAGGGTTAGTTCACCCAAAAATGCAAATTAGCTTGTGTTTTACTCACCCCCGAGACATCCTAGGTGTATATGACTTTCTTCTTTCAGACGAATCCAGTCGGAGTTATATAAAAAATTGTTCTGGCTATTCCAAACTCTATCATTGCAGTCAGCGGGTGTTGCAGTTGAACAGTCCACAAGTCGTCAAATAAAGCTCACACATTCATAATAAAACGTGCCGCAGACGGCTCCGGGGGGTGAATAAAGGCCCCCTGTAGCGAATCCATGGTAAGAAATAAGAAAAATATCCATATTTCAAAGAAAGAGAATATAGTTCGTCAATATTAAAATGGTTCAGCCCAGTCACCAGTCACTGAAGAGGGATGAATTGTTGAACAAAAAAACAGAAACTGAATGCAGGGTCCTAATAACAAGTTACATTTTGTCACAACATATTGTAAAGAAGTGACACAAAACAGATTATTCAAAGGAACTGGAATATTTTACAAGTTGATGAGACTCTAAGGGAATTTTTTAAAGAATCCCCTAGCTTTGCTTTTAAACGTGCCCCAACAATAAAGGACAAATTGGTGAGGAGTTTTCTTCCAGCCTCAAGACGGGAAACATGGCTAAGATGACCAAAAGGGAATTTTAGCTGTGGTAATTGTAATTATTGCATACATATGGTCCGGACAGAAGAAATAAGAAGAAATTTGAGATCACAGATTTTATTAATTGTAACTCAACACGTGTAATTTACAGATTGGAATGTCCGTGTAATTGTTTTTATGTGGGCCTCACTAAGAGGAGGTTATGTGACAGATTGGCTGAACATAGATATGCAATACGGACTGGTAACATGAATTATCCGATGGCGAAACATTTTATACAGGCCAAGCATGGTAGTGATAGTAACTTGAAGGTCATTGGAATTGAACATGTGACATTAAATATCAGAGGTGGAGATCGACTTAGACAGCTGAAACAGCGAAAATACATACATTGAATGCTCTCTCATATGCTGGTCTTAATGAAGATATTGATTTTTCTCCATTCCTGTAATTGTCAGATTTGTCGGTGGTTTTTCTTTTCTTTTTCTTTTTATTTGCACAATTGTGATATATGTATCCTTATATAGGTTTGTAAAAAATATACTTCTGTATATATATATATTTTTTTTTTGAACCATATTATTTTGGGATTGTTTGTGAGTATATTGTATTTTTCACTTTTTTATTCTTGGGTTGTATGTGAAAGTTTTTTGGATTGTTTGAGAAATTAGTGAACTCCCAAGAGACATCTAGTGGTCAGATCCTGAAAATGTATAGTCACAGGTGTATCTATTTAGCTACTTCTTATTTTCTATTGTCTCACACCTTGACGAAGGCCTGCTTGGGATGATACACGTTGGTGTCTTTTTAAAATGTAGTCCTGTCTTAGAATAAAGGCTTTTTACTTTGCTGACTATGTGAGTGCATGGTGAATTTTTTTATTTTATTTATTTATTTTTTTGCAACAGGATCCACCTATCTTTTTGAACATTTTAAATGAATTTTAAAGAAATAAACTTAAATTGTACTAAATGTAATTGAAGTGCTTCCAATTTAACACAGTTTAATATATTAAAATATATTGCTAATAGCCTAAAGTTGATCTTAAACACATCTTGAAATATGCTTGATATACTTATTGTTTCAAAATAATACATTTAATATGCATTTAATATGGTATGATTTAACTATAAGTACGTCCAAAAAAGCACAATTTAAGTACATTTCCTTTTCACCTGGGCTGCTTGACTACAGCAGAAGTGAAACTGGTCTGTTTCAGTCCAGATCATGTAACCAATCAAACAGAGACACTGGGAGTGTGGGCTGAAAATCCCATTTGCATTGTCAGGGTGGAGTGATTGTGATCCTCTCAGAATAGAGCAGCTCTGTCTCCAGAGACCATGTTCAAACCCCAAGAGCTTTATTTGACTAGATTTACTGCTACTGATCGAGCTTCTGAAAAGCACCTGGACAAACACTACATGCATCTTCATCTGTTAGTTGAATGATGTTGTCAGACACAAATGGAGTTTGTTGAGAAGCTTTATTGAATGTTGCAGCAAACACAGCAGATTGAAAGATCAGCCAGTGCTTTGACACTAGAGCTCTCTTTCAGTATTGAGTTGTAAATGACTACAGCTGCAGCACTAGACTCATGTGAATCCTGCCTGACACAGGACACTCAGATACGCTCATCTTCAGGAGAGAGCAGCGCTCACTGGAGAAACATCAGCACTGCGAGTGACTAACAGAGACTCTTGTGGAACGAGGCCTCATGAGGAGCTCCATCATGTGTTACTCTGCAGACGTACAGCTCTCCCTCTTCCCAGCGTGCTTTGCTGAGGGTCAGGACGCTACTGCGGCTGTAGCGGCCGTCCTGCTCGCTCTCTGCGCTGGTCACAACCCCCTCGGTGACCTCTGAGCCGTCCAGTGTCCAGCTCACCAGCGCCCCCTGTGGAGAGTAAGAGCTGAGCAGGCAGAGCAGTGCGGCTGAGTCTCCAGAGATCTGCAGAGAAGAGGGCGGCAGCAGAGACACTGAGGGCTTCACTGTGGGACCAGCTGCAGGAGACAAACACAACACATTCACAAACACAGAGAAAACACACAGAGTAACTTGTTGGTAAGTGCTACAAATTAACAAAAGACTACATACAGATAATCTATCTGAAATCGTTATTAAATGATAGAATATACACTTCAGATTACAGAACAAAGCAATGTTTGCGGTGTTCCTGCATGGCTTTGACCAACAGATGTCGCTAGCGTGCTGTCACTCTTGCGTTGCGCATGCGTCGAGTAAGTCATTATTTCGAGAAAGTTTCTCAATAAAGCGAGAAACTAATGCCGAGTTCACACTGCTCTTAGGGCTAAGTGTGAAGTGGAGCGGAAATTGAAGAAAAAAAAGCCTACTGACTAAAACTGGCAATTCGTATAGTCTTTTTGCCTTGCAATAAGTGGAAATCGGAAGAATTCTAGAACAATTGACAATACAGCACTAATTTAAATATTGTGTTATACTGTCTCCTCCACTTAGTTTTACACCTGTCTTTAATTTGTTACTTTTTAAAAGTGTTGTTCGGGAAACTTATTCATAGCTGCTAAAATTGACCTGCTGTTGTGAAGACTCTTGTTAAAAAGGTTTTATAAATTGAGGAAACAATTGCTTGTGTCAGTTTTGTGTCATATTGATTAAATACAATTAACAATGTGTTGTGTTATTTTCCAGTGTTTGGGTATCATTCAAGTTCTTCAATTTTCTTGTCTGTAAAATAAGACTTTGTAGGTGAAATTCATAGGCTCATATTCTGAATGTTGTGTTTGTGTGCTTTATTTCTGGAGTCCCAGCTTAATGCATTCTTTCTTTCTTTCTTTCTTTAGTGATTGGCACACAAAAAAAGGACTTAAGTGTGGCAATTGACAGGTCCTTATCAGTTTTTCCCTGTTGCAAAGTTTCTTAAGCATTATTGAGTAATTATAACTCAACATCATCAGGCATGAGTTTGCATTAAGTTTCTACACGTTTTTCGGCGGGGTTCCTCCAGTAAAATTTGCATTCATATCACGTTATTGGGGTCGCTTCAACCCATGGCTCGTTTTTCGGCGGGGTTCCTCCAGTAAAATTTGCATTCATATCACATTATTGGGGTCGCTTCAACCCATGGCTACAGTGTTAAAGTAGCCCAGTTCTGCGGGAAAACCACGGACTCGGCAACTGAGGTGATGTAAAAGAGGAAAGCAGGCATTTGGACCAAAGCACTGTGAGGCAAGGGAGGGGGAGACTCAAAATGTTTCTAAACTTAAAACGCATTTTTGCCCCATTTGCATTGTTTTACTACTTACAAAGTTATTTAAAGTATAAAACATTGTTATTTACAATACACAGCGTGGTTTTAAATCATATTTTTAAGGGGGGACGGACAACCCTCAGATGGGGGGGTCCTGTCCCCCCCCAGGATTTCCGCCTATGCACGAGAAAGCGTAAAAAAAAAAAACACAGGACAACTTTTTTTTGAGCAATGTTGCTTGGGCACTTTCCCATTGAGAATGGACAATACATTTCTATCTGGATACTTTAGACCAGTCATGGGCCCTGTGTCTCACCTGGTTGCCCATTGATGGCAACATTGCTCAAAAAGTTGCCCCGTGTATCATCACCTTAAGGTCTGTTCTATTGCTTCAAATACACTTTTAGCTTCCATGTTTAATCTATTTGATGCATACTTTTGTAACGATCACTCATTTATTTATCGTTTACTTTTATCTGCCGTCAGACTATCTGAGACGTTGTTGTTATAATGCGCTGCTGTGGGTTGTGTCTTGATTCGGACTTGACTGACATTGTGACACCGCCAGCTTCATGCTTTCTAACCTTACCTCCACTTTATGTTGCAATTATTCTGCTTATTGTACATATAAAATACAATAACTTTATATCAGTAGTCTCATATTCATAATTGTGATTAAATCTATATATGTTTACATCTGCCAATCTCTACAGTGTGGGAATATATTCACACATATAGAGAGAGTGTATGTAATATATATACATCATACATGTATTAGTTTTACTCTCTGCACAACTCTGATTTTAAGAACTATAATGTACTTGAAGTGTGCACCAAACACACGTTCCTATAGGAATATACAAGTATTGGATCGGGACTCATCATTAATCAATCGGCAGATACTCATCATTATTCAATGACTTGGATCTGATCAGGGGCACAAAAAAGCCTGACCAGGACATCCCTAATGAAAAGTATTTTTTATCTTCCAGACCAACCTTTTCATCTCATGGCAGCTCGGTGACACCAAATCTGAGCTGAAGAATTCTGAGATTATTGCTAATCTAACCAGGTTTGAGAGCTACTTTTCCAAACTTGTTATATAATGAAAAGAATTTGGTTTAGAAACTATTTTTTACTCAGAAATTGCTAGTAAAGTTCACAATTAATTACAGAGAAACGTCATACACATTTAATTAAACGTGAAATTTTGAAGTAAAATATACTTTCTCGTAAAATGTGCTCCAATAATCTTTTTATTAATACATTTTATTTACAAATCATTTTTTACAGTGTATACAAATCTTATTTTTAAAACATTTTCTCTGGTTTTAGTCAGAATCTTGGCTCTGAATTTCTGGACTCTAAAATATATGCATTTGATGTGATGTATTCCCTACCAATCCAGCTAACTGGGTAAGTGAACAAACAACTTCATAAGTATTTCACATGAAACCTCTTGATTTTGTAATATTTAAGGATATTTATGATTATTATTATCATTATCTTAACAACAGCACAGCCAGCCCAAACAGACTCCGTATTGAAGAGGGTGAAAAAGTAGAGAATCGAAAGATGCAGTTTTTATTTCAGGTACAGTATTTAAAAATCTAATCTCACAAAATAATCAGCTAAATATGAATTTTTTATGATATTTATGTCATACATTAAATATATTCTCCTGTATTCTGATTTAGTTTGCAGGTGAAAATAAGTATGGCGCTACAATCAATGTAGTTGTAAACATAACAAAGGACACTTTCCAAACTGATTTGGACATCATTAATGTCAAACCACACGAGGTATCACACAAAATGAAATATTTATGAAATATTTAGTTCATAGAGCGACAATAAACAGCATGAAAGCTTTCAAACTAACATTTATTGCTCCTTTTGTATTAGGAGTGTGTTTTTCCAAAAAATACATTAGTGGAGGTAAGATATTACCTTAAAAAATGACCATGCTTTAAAAAAAAAACGTTAAATAAAAGTAGTTATATATTATATATTTTTTTGCATGTAGGGATTCTATATCATCACATGTACCATGACAAAGCTGCAGAAAATCATCATTGATGCCAATGTTTTGATACATGATGTTCAGGTATAGTTATATAATTAAGGTATACTGATAATCATATGCATCAATGAACTGTTTATCCAATAATTCTTTTCAAACTGATAGGAAAAATCAGACAAGATCACTGCCGTAGGAACATACAGCTTTGATGAGAACATCTATGCTGTGAAGGATACTTCGAGAACCATTCCGGTGAGCGACAGTCCTTTCAGGCATGCAAACATGTCATCACGTATTTACTGTAGTTACTGATAGATTTAATTATGCGATGCAGGTGGAGGTGATAATTACAAAGCTGCGTGTGACGACATCTAAAGGTCCCATCATTGGAGGATCAATAGGAGGATTTCTGCTCCTTTTCATCATCATCATCATTCTCATCAAGGTAAAGCAAACACTTCCTCTCTGTCTCCACACTTGATGTTACAAGGAAGATCAAGTCAAGCACATTGCATTGTGGGATGTTTTATTCCTTGCAGGAACATGTAATTGTGTACTGCAAATTTTGGTGAATATAGTTGGTCATTTGAGTATTTTATGCTTAAAATTTGCATTGTGTGCATACTATATACTGCAGAAATAGTGAAAGTTGTAAGGTTGTATGGTTCTATGCTATTTCAAAAATATCTCTGCATGCACTGACTCTATGTGATCTCATTTTCAGTGTGGCTTTTTCCGTCGCCGCCATAAAGTGGACCAAGCACAGAGTCCAAACTGAAGACCGGCAAAGCCCAGGAGGGACCATATATTACCATATATCTTGCTTAAGTTTGCGTCAAAAAATGTAGCATTAAGAAGAAGTTTTTGGTAACGCTTTAGATTACAACCCGCAATGTACTGCGTAAGTAAACAGAATTTACAGCGTAACTTTTTTGCAATTACAGTGTACCTATTCAGTACCTCCGTGTAGGTATAAGGTAACAATATGCGAAGTTTGGAGAATAAAGGAGTAATAATCTGTAAAATTACAAATTATTTTAAGACGGGAACATGTGTGGAAAATAGGAGAAAACGAATCGAAGCGCAGACAAGGGACAACTTCGAAACTGTCTGGAGTGTGTTCAACTGCAACAGTGAATGTGGTGAGCACGAACTGGAAACAGCTGGAATGGCGCATGAGACGAGTCTATCCGTGTTTGCGGCGCTCGTGACAAGAATGTGTGTAGAAAGTACAAGAAAACTAATCGACACGAAGAGGAGAGAGATTTTTGAAACTGACTGGAATGTGTTCTTTTAAAACTGGA